TTATGGATTTTTTTTAATCAGTTATTTAATCTATCAAAGGCAAAAAAATTAATCTGAAAACAATAAATGTTTGACAACTTTAAAATTATGTGAAGTAAAGGCAATACTTGGTTAAAGTTGGAGAATGATCATAGTTATGGTTAACAAAAACTAAACTATAACAAAATATATTTTTTATAACATGTCTTATTAATATTGTGAAAGTTGAAAAGTGCCACTGTCAGCACTGGTTAGCACTTAGTAGATAACACCATAATGAACAGTTTCTACTGGAGACATTTCAACATGTTGCAGAAGGAAAAGCACAGGTGTCAATGATGGCTGAATTCCATTTAGCTGCATCAGTGACAGGGTCCTGTGCATGCTGTCACACTGTCACACTGTCATGATTTACTGGGACAAAAAAACTGAGTCTTTGTTAATGTTATTAGTAACACCTGTGCTTTCCCTGCAATGACAAGTCAAAATGTCTGCTGTGAAAAAGGCTGATTATATGATCTAATGTCTCAGTGAGTAACAGAGTAACTGACAATTGACATCGCTGCAGTCTTTCCTTTTGCTGTCAGTCTGCGAACATGATTGCATGTTACTGCTAATTGCTCTCCTACCTGATCCCTTTCAGGCTTCAGCAGTTCGACATACGTGTTCAGCTGCTTTACTTTGATGAATCATCAGCCATCAACCCTGGCTGCTCTGTATGTCCATCACTCAGCGTCAAACATCGCACATAAAAAAAACCCCTGATGCTTTGTCTAAAGTAACCTCACTTTCTGTTTAAACCACGGTTTTAAGAAATCTGAAGTACCGACGCTGAATCTGAACATGACTGTTTCCCAAAATAATTTCAAGGCACACTGTAGATGATCTGTGAGGTGCCACATAACTTTGAAGGCAAATGTTCCCTAAAAATGCTACATTTTACTTTTGGCATTCAAATTACAGTCAAAACACTGATGTGTGCACAGTAAGTAGTAAAACGTGTACATCTGCTTAAAATCAAACACAGAACGCAGCACATGAAATCATGCAGAAATAATGAATGTACATGTGCAAATAATGATATCATCTACACATTAGAGCTGGTAATGACGGACTGCACCCACTGCCAGTGGCTTTGGACACATGCACACGCACACACACACACAGACACACACACACACACACACACACACACACACACACACACACATTTCTGCGTGTATGCGGTCAGTAGTCGCAGAGCCACCAGACAAAGAAATATCAACGTGTGCCAAACTCCTACCAACATTTTGAGCCTTAATAAAATTCTAAGCACAAACACATTATGGTGGCGGTATGAACACGCTGTTCTGCCAGTCGGTGTTGGATGGATGGATGTGTGTGGTTTCCATGGCGACAGGAAGATCCAAAGGACAGAGTGCAACGCCATTGTTCACCAATAACCACAGCTGTAGCTTTTGTTTGTGTGTTTTTTCGTTCCCTACACTCCGATAAAAAGAAGACTCGATTGGGTTAGTGGAGTCATGGGAGGGAGGATTTGGATTGAAGATTAACCCACTGCTCATCAAAGAATATCTGTCAGCTAGCAGATATGTGTCAGCAGGCCAGAGAGCAAAAAAAAGGAGGAAGAGGAAGATGAAAGGATAGGGGAAGAGCATAGAAGAACCTCTACATCCTCGAGTTTCAGTGCAGAACTGAGAAACCATTACTCTGTCAATCACCTATCTACCAGCCTAACTGTTCATGGGGGAAGGGAGGATGGGAGGGACGTCGGCATCATCTGTAGTATTATCTGTATTAAACACACAGATGGAGGTGGAGGATTGCAAATGGCCACCGGAGAAAGACAGGAATTGACTGACGGTTTTCTATCGGATGTCATCAGTTTACGGCAGTTGGCCTTGGTTGTCTGAACATCATTCAGAGATGTGGGGCAAGCTGCCGCATCCTCACTTCACCGGTGAAGCGAGACGTGTGTGTGTGTGTGTGTGTGTGTGTAGTGATGGTGTGTGAAGGGGATGAAGGAGGAGGGTTAGCCCCAGGTTGTTTTGAGGCGTTTGCACCAGATCTGCCAACCTCTTTTTGTTAAATATTCACCTGAGTTTGAGCTGACATAAAGTCCCTGCTGCAGCATTGATGAAAAGTGAGTTTAAGATGATCATGTGATATTTTATGATATAAAAATAGGATATATTTAATATCCTACATTGATCCCCAGACACTGCAAAAACACAGTTTTAGCAACACTAGCCTCTGTGGCTCTGTGGATGGCAATGTCTGTCGGTCAGTCCAGCACTTTGTCCAGACTGTAATATCTCAACAGCTGTGGAATGGATTGCCATGAAATTTTGCTCATGGTTTCCAGAGGATGAATCCCAGTGACTGTGATCCTATGACATTTTCTTCTAGTGCTAGTGCTAGTGCTTCTAGTAAGTTTTGCGTGAAATATCTTGACAACTATTGGATGGATTGCTACTAAATGTGGTTCAGATATTCATATCCCCATCAGGATAAATTATAATTATGTTTGTGACCCTTAACTTTTCCTCTAGAGCCATCATCAGGTCAAATTTTCCCACAGCCTAAGGTATACTTTATTTTTAGTGCGAATTAGCAAATGTTAGCACACTAACACACTAAATTAAGACAGTGAAAATTGCAAACATTATACTTGCTAAACATTGTTTAGCTCAAAGCACCACTGTGTTTGAGTAGAGCCTCACAGAGCCACTAGCATGTCCTTTATTGAGAGAAAGAGAATTTCACTCTGTTTCCACCGCAGACTTGTTTCTTGATTCCAGCGCAGCAACCTGCATTATTCTGTCATGTCTTCGATGTTACTGCAGTGAAAGATGGTGTTCATAGGTCCAGCAGTCAAACATGATTGGATAATATGGATTTCTTGCAGCGCAGAAAGGAAAATGTCTTTTCGCCATCGCCCCTCTGGCGGAGGTGTCAGCTGGTGTAGCTCCTGGAGAGCAGCAGGGAGTGAGGTGCTTTGCTCAAGGGCGCTTCATTAGATGAGATTATACAGAGAGCTAAACCCACCTCTAGTCAGGGTCAGTCAACACATCCAAAACACTTGAGTATTACTTTTGAAATTCCTTAGATTTATATTTCTGATGTATTTATTTGAATCTTTAACAGAACGGTTTGACATCTCTGCAACCAGCAGAGAATCTAGGAAGTCACTGCACTCCCGCACATAACCACTGTGAACTAACATTTTAAATATATATATATACCCCTGCATCCAGACTTTGTGCTAAGCTACGCTAAGTGCCTACTGGCTATAGCTTCATATTTAACTAACAGACTAAAGAGAGTATCAATCTTTTGAGTAAGCCTATTTCTCAAAATGTCACATTATTCCTTTAAAAAACAAACTGCCAAGTGATTTGCACAATGTTCTTTTATTCATGTGCATTACACTGTCTAAACACTGGTTAGATGCGCTCATATTTTATACTCCTATAAGACATTATGGGTGTAACTGGGAACCAATGCACTTGCCCCATTAAAAAGGAAAGAAAAGGCGTTCATAGCCATTACATTTGAGGGGAAACTGAATGGAAGGCTGGTGACTGGACTGGCATAAATTGGGCAGTGTCCTAATATCATTATGTATTTTTCTCAAATAGGCAGCTGACAAGGAACATGGCTATTGGATGTTCCACTGATGTGAGTTTTTCCCTTTTAGAAAGCTCCAAGACAGATTTTTGCGCTCCATATAATACAACATCATTTTTGTGGACTTCACCTTGCCATCACACTCCATGAATTTCAGCCAGTGCGATGGCAACAATCAGACAGATTATATTGGATTATAACGCCAGACTGATTTCATCTTGTACACGATCCTGCATTATTAATCTGACTCTAATGTAGACCGCCGTGCGCAATGAATCTCAGACAAAGAGAACAAGAGAGAAACATAGCCGTGTCTTCAAAAAAAATGTTTACTCGAGTGTTTTTTTCTTCTTCTACTACCCTCTCTGTGTATCAGAATGTCCGTCCAGATCCCTTCATGAATTATTCATCATGTCCCCCGGCCCTAATCCTCGCCTTTGTGTCGCTGTAGTGCCAGTGCGCCTCGGGGATCTAGTTTACTGCATCGACTGGACGCTGTCACTATTACACATAATTTCTCCTTTAATATTCCTACAGTGGCTCATTGTGGATGCTGCTATTCTGATGATTTAGTGACCTGATTTGTCTGTGATCGCCTCCTAAGATGCCACTGTACCTCTTCAGACTGTAGCCTAAAATGACTTCAATGTCTACAATTCTAAGCAGTGAGCTGATAGTGACTTTATAGCATATTCATATCTTGTCTCTATGACATTCCTTTAATATTTGTCCTTACAATGTAGGATCTTACAATATTTCACTTAATGCCCTAATATCCTGTCTTGCAGTGTTCCTAATGGGTGTACATTGACCTCATTTTTACATGTGTCTTGTGTCTCTATAATATTCAGAAGGACTTCTACTTATGTCTTTATTGTGACCTAATTTCAGTTTATGCCATTTTTGTCTCCTTTGAAATCTCTGAAATATTTCTACAGGGATATGGTGTTCAATAATGACTTAATCATGAAATGTCTGTCCCTTAGGCATCAACATAAAACTCTTGTGGGATTTGAAAATTCTTATGATATTCCTACAGTAGCCTATATTAAGCAATATCTCCTCTCCTATACATAGAACCGAAATCCATATTCTTCAAAATCCAATTTATTATCAGTTTGCAGTGACTGGAAAATATCTAAGACCATTATAGTGTTCAGATTACTGTCACCAAATTTGACTAACCAATTGTCTATCAATGGCAGTTGAGCGTGAAGTGCTTCCTAACCTACAATCGGAGCCTCACTGACCTCCTTTCTGGCTGCCCTGTGGGAGTGTGTTTAGGTACCCTGAGTCCACAGAGAGGACGTGCTGCAGCAGCAAGAAAATTAAGCAATCCATGTGGCACGTTTTTGCATGATTAAAGTGCACATTGAAGGACGGTTTCTTACCTTGGACAGCCAGCGGGATCAAGTGCAGAGCCAGGACGCACGACAGCAGTGTTAGTCTCCAGCATCCCGTGCAAAAGCTCGCCTCCTTCCCCTGCATCCTCGCCGTGCAATGATAGCCTAAGATGGTCAGAAGAAGAAGAAGGAAATTCCTGTTCTAATAGTGGTAACAGAGTTCAAAAAACGTGCCAAAAAGTAATCCGGACAAGTTGATTTGCTTGCAGTCTAGACTCCAGCCACCCTGCGCTTCTCCTCCATAGCCGCTTGGTCTCAGCTGTCTCCTCGTATCCGCTGCTATTTCACACGCTCAGCTCAGTTAAGCACACTGAGGTTGGTTACGGCTCCATTGCCAGAGAAACGGCGGTCGGAGACGGCGAGGAGAGGGTGGGGTGATGGAGGAGGAGGCGGGGGTTGCGTTTGGGGGCGCAAACGCACGCCGTGGCTCGGCTTGGCTTGGTTCGATTCGGAACGGATCGGTGCTTTGGGCACTTTGTGTGAGAGGGAAACAAACGCACGGCTGAGTGCAGCGCGCTGGGTAGCCTTCTCTTCATCTGGGGGGGGGGGGGGGGGTTGTTGATGCCCCCTCTCCCTCCCCCCTCCCATTCTCAAGACGCTTCCCTCCTCCTCCTCTTCTCTCCATCCTTCCCAATCCTCAAACCTTTTCCTTCCTTTTCGTCCTTCAAAGCGTCCACATATCCCCTACTCTTCCTCCTTACTTTCTTTTTCTCCCAAGACTTTTTTCCCACTGTTAACCTCATTGTCATCTGTCAAAAGATGTTTCCCTTCGTTTCCTCCTGTCAAATCTCCATATTTCCTTACCTATTTTTCATTTTTCACCAGTTCTTCCCCTACTTTGTCATTCTTCAAAGCATCCACGCTTCTTCCTCTGACTATTTGTCCTCCTCTCCTTCTTTCTCTTCACTTTCCAAAATAGTTTTTTTCTTCCATTCCTTCTTTCCTCCCCTCCTTCTCCTCCCTTTCCTTAAAATTCCCTACCTTTTCTTTCCCCAAGATTTTCACCCCTGTTTCATCTCCTCAGATTTTCCCTCCCTCTTTTCCAAGAGGGACTACATTTTTTCCTCATGTTCCTCTTCACTTCTTCATCTTCCGAGACCTTTTTAACACCAGTTTCTTTTTTCCTTTCAGAAAACACCCTTCTTCTATCCATCCTTTCCTTTCCTTTCCTTACAACTGATCCTCCTCTATCTATTCCCTCAATCCCCTTCCTGAGTGACATCTTTCCTTTTACTCTCTACATCTTTACTCTTTCCTAAAACTTTCCTACTTTTCATTTCCCCCCCTTGGTCTCCTCTCTCTTTTCCAGAGATATTTTTGTTTCTTCTTCATCTTGCAAGACTTGTAAACCTCCCTTTCATTTTATTCTCTTTCTTCTTCTCTTCTGCAACTTTCCAAAGATGTTTTCCTCTTCCTCCTTCTCTCTCCATATATCTCTACCTTTTCCTATTTCTTTTCCTTTTTTTCCTTTCTCATCCTTAGACTTTTCCTCCTCCTTTACTCCTCTCTTCCATTCTTTCCTTTTCTTTCCTAAAATGTCTCTCCTCTACCTCGTTTATCCCTTCTTGGAAACACATACCGCCTACTCCTCCTCTTCTTCCTTCCCCCATCTGCATCCCAGGACATCCTCCCTCTTCCTCTTCTCACACTCAAACTTTTTTTTTCTCCTCCTCTTACATGACACTTTCCCCCAAAACTTTTCCACCTCCTCCCTCCCTCCCCCCCTCCCTCTTGGTCCCAGTGCTTTCAGTTATTATTCATCTGAGAGAGGTGGATCTCAATAGGAGTGCACACTCTGCTCTGGCCACTTTCCCCCCCCCAAGGGAAATCGGTCTATTTCGAAGGAGCTTAACTTTCCTTCACCGCTCCATGAGTGTGTGTGTGTGTCAGAGAGGATGAAGCAGTTTGAGTGTGTTTTTTGACGGCGTCAAAACAAGCAGCTTTGTTTAATGGTGTGACTGGGAAGCAAACAAAAGGTGGGAGGCGGAGGAGGGGAGGCATGGGGGTGTCTGGGTGAAAGGGGGGTGGTTGGAGGGGTAAATGGGGGGGATGCACACGGTGATGAATGCCCAAAGGCCCCGGGGGTAATGATGGTGGTGGGGGTCGTGGGCATTCTTCCACACAAAAAAAAACATAAAGAGAGAGGGGCTGGGCAACAGGAGATGTTTTGTGTGTGTGTGTGTGTGTGTGTGTATATATATGTGTGTGTGTGTGTGTGTGTACCTATAGTTGGTTGTTTACATGTATGTGTGCATGTAAAAGCAGTAGCAATGCCAGTTTTTAAAAAAAAGAAATACAGAATGTTTAGCGGAATAGAAAATGTGTTCAGTGAGTTGTAAAAAGTAGGTCAAGAGGACATTTGGTAGCTTCCATTTAAATAATATAAAATATGGTTCCTTTCTGGCAGAGAACTGTTTTGGGAACATTGTACAAAAAATGTTTTGCCATCTTGAACAAGAATTAAGGCACCTGTAATTTATCTCTCCTCTTCTTTCCATTTACCTATCTGTCTGCCTCATGCAGATCCACACAACCATCAGTTTATTCATTATGAGCACAATAAGATAGCATTCACACTGCTGACCTTCCTGTCGTTTCTGCTTTTATCTGATTTCATTGCACGACTGCTATTCCACTGTGTGATCTCAATATGAGCTGACAGCAATGTTGGACAAAGGAAAAATAACAAAAGGCATCCCATCTGCCATGAGCTTTAATTTCGGGCACATTTGGGTTGTATCTTCCAGTACCCCAAATCTAATAAAGTGGGATGTTTGTCTTTTCATCCATCTTTTCCTCATTTTGTGTCACTGAGCTGTCATCTGGCAGTCGTCTCAGGTGAATCATCAGAGCTAATTTAACTCTTACAGTAAGCGAATATTAACACTCAACAAGAATAAGAGTCTGCTGCCATTCTAGCAGCTCAGTGAGGCTGGGCATTTAACTAAAGGCTAACATCAGCATGCCAACATGCCATCTTAGTTTAGCATGTTAGTAAGCTAACATTTGCTAATCAGCTAGCACGTCAAGATGGGAAAACATGTCCAGGACCATCAGCACCAGATCCCCTCAAGGCTGCCTTCTTTCCCCTCTGCTCTTCTCCCTTTATACTAACAGCTACACCTCTAGTCACCAGTCCGTCAAGCTTCTAATGTTTGCAGATGACACCACCCTCACTGGACTCATCTCTGGTGGGGATGAGTCTGCCTACAGGTGGGAGATCGACCATCTGGTGACCTGGTGCAGCCAGTACGGTCTGGAGCTCAGCGCTCTGAAGACAGTGGAGATGGTCGTGGACTTCAGAAAGAGCCCCGCCCCACCCTCCCCCATCATCCTGTGTGACTCCCCCGTCACCACTGTGGACTCCTTCCGCTTCCTGGGCACCATCATCTCCCAGGACCTCCAGTGGGAGCTGAACATCACCTCCCTCACCAAGAAGGCCCAGCAGAGGATGTACTTCCTGCAGCAGCTGAAGAAGTTCAGCCTGCCAAAGACAATGATGGTGCACTTCTACGCCGCCATCATTGAGTCCATCCTCACCTCCTTCATCACCATCTGGTATGCTGCTGCCACTGCCAGGGACAAGGGCAGGCTGCAGCGTATCATTCGCTCTACAGAGAAGGTGACTGGCTGCAATCTTCCATCACTTCAGGACCTGCACGCCTCCAGGACTCTGAGGCGAGCAGGAAAGATTGCAGCTGACGCCTCCCATCCCGATCACAGACTGTTTCATACTCTCCCCTCTGGCAGGAGGCTGCGGTCCATCAGGACCAAAACCTCTCGCCACAAAAACAGCTTCTACCTGTCTGCAGCTAGCCTCATCAACAAGGCCCGGGTCTCCCACTGATACTCCCCCCCCTTTCAAATAAAACAAAACTGTGTTGATAAGATGAGATTAATGCAGTGTCTGGGTATCAGAATCAGATTTATTGCCAGGTACATTTTCACATATGAGGAATTTGCCTTGGTATGAATTGGTGCTTACAGTACACATAACATAAATAGTAATATAAATATATAAAAAGTAAGGAGATCAGAAAAAAATTATATAAAAGTATACAAAAAATATAAAAAGATACAACAATACTATAATACAATGCTGACAAGTGTGTGCAAAAATTGGCAACATGAGCACAAAGCACAGTTGAGCGTTGTTGTAAAGTGTGGGGTCAGGAGAGTGTATGAGTGTGTGTGAGTTTGGGGAGGGGGGCATGAGAGTCACTGACAGTGGGGACCTGGGCCTTGTTGAGGAACCCACTGACATCGGAAAGAAACTGTTCTTGTGGCGAGAGGTTTTGGTCCTGGAGGCGTACAGGTCCGGAAGAAAAGTAAGATTGCAGCCAATCAATATAGGATTCAGTGAGATCTCTGTGGATCATGAATGTCTGTACCAAAATTCATGGCAATCCATCCAATAGTTGTTGAGGTATTTTATTGTAGAGCAACTGACCAAGAGACCTAGAACCCCACCCCTTTAGTATGGCAAAATATTCACTGTTTGGCAAAAATCCAGCTTCATTGTTTGCATACAAAACTTGCAAGTTGGTCTTGAAATCCAGTTAAGCTATATGAAGACTAGAACACTAAACGAAATCACTAAACCCTCAAGAACCAAGAGGGTTTAGAGATTAAGTTTATAAAACAGGCTCTGTCTGCTTCATATTGCTTTAGTCTGACAAACAGTCAACACCTAAAGATATTCAATGTATAATAATGTAAATCAGTGACTTCCCACATTGAGAAACCGGGACAAGGGGAATTTCTGGCATTTTGTTTGATAAATAACTTTGCTTCATTAATTGCTGTCAACCTACTAATTGTTTTAGGACTATAGCAGTAGTGTGAATGTGGTCCAAAGGCACAAAATCTGGCTCACTGGCATCAGATGCACGGTACTCAGTTAACATAGCCAATGACAGAAAATGGGACGTCAATTGATTCTGAGGATTGAGGTCTTCTATCATAATGAGATAACCTTGATGTTCACTGTGTGTGCACAAACACACACACACACACACACACACACACACACACCTAATTCTGTCTGGCAGCAGGGCGTTTTCCAGTATTTTGGGGTTAATTCCTCTTTTACAGCTATCATGTCCTATTCAGGGTCACGTGCTGTTGTTGTGACAGTCCAGGCCAACCGCTTTACTCATATTAAATAGAGGACAGTACTCATCAACACATGGATTATGGACATTTAATCCCTCATTCACCTCCAAAACATAAATAATATCTTCCTTGTATTTGCATCTAAGAGGCAGAAGTATGATATGCCACCCTGAGCATAAGAAACACTTATTACATCCCTCATCACCCACTCCTGTTTCTTCTCTGCCCTACTCGTTTTTTTTTTTTCATACTACAAGCGACATAATAAAAATAATTTCCAATAAAGTTGAACAAACAGCTACAGCAGCCTCTTATAGTCAACACCACAAACAGATTTATTATTTTTCATGGGGATTGCAAAAGAAATGAACTGCTTTCCAAAGTATTTTTCAATAAATTGGGGC